GCACTCTCTCATCATCCTGTACTTTTATATTTGAGTGAAAGACAGGCGGGTCTATCATTGTTTTATTGATCCATCTCTGTCTCTTCTTACACTCACTCTCCTCTGTCTCAGGTAAGTTATCAAAGAAAAACGTCTTCTGTTTGATTTCTTTTGTCCGACCTTTGACCTTACCTCCTTTGCCACCAACTGGCCAAATATTATCTTCACAAACAGATATGTCTAACCCCATTCATGCTCCACAGAGGATGACCACATAATGTTTTCTCCAGCATCAAAAGAGTCAGTATGCTGCACATGAAGTGGATGGTGCCACTGCCTGAAACCCCTCCACAGCTACACCTTTCCGGCATCAGAACTGGACTGAGCTGACTGACCAGGTGTGCTCAAGGATTCAAGGTTAAAGGCCCTGACACACCAGGTCACAGCGGTTGGCCGTCAGCCAATGTCGGTCTGTTGGTGAGCGTCTGCAGCCCTAGTTTTCTGCACTGTTGGCACTCATCTGCGGCTTTTCCAGTAGACTTAAGCATGGTGAATCGGTGGTGAGAGAAATCGCTTTCATTGGCTGGTCAGCTTAAGAGAAATCAGTGCACGAGCCACAAACAGCAGAGAACAGCAAACGACTTTGTCAGAAGGACCATCTCATCTGATCATTCAAACAAGATATTTAAAAAGCGTCTTTTTTAATACCACAGTCCTACATCTCCAAAGTAGCACCTGTACCACCATTCACATTATTAATGTGGTTCTTTGTCAGCCAATCAGAACAGCTATTAACACCAGTGGTCGACAGATATGGATTTTAATGTCCAATGTCAGTATTTAAAGAGCAGTGATGCCTCAAAACAAAGAAACGTCATTCAGGCATATGTTTAGATGTTTACAGCAGTTATAGTGCAGGGCTCAAAATTACAAAACTATTTCCACCACCTTCACAAACAGCTGAACGCTAACATCGTTCCACAGCAGCCACACTGACAAGGCTACCTGCAGATGTGTCTTATGAGCACAAACACCGGCCGATTTAACACTAATTAACATTTTGCCTTCAGACGTTGTCAAACAACATGTTTATTACAAACTAGTTTGTTTCGAACAAACCCAGACCTCAAGACTTAAGACACTTAAAAGGTTTTTGTGAATTTGACCCCAGGACTTGTTAACATGTTAAAAAAATCTATTCTTGACATTTTCTTCTCATTCATTGAAATATGTATGGTTTGAAAGGAGCTGTCAGAGTAACAGATATAAGAATGAAACATTAACTTAACGATTAGTTGACAGAAGACAGACGTTTCCCAAATATCAATCCATCTATTATCCACACCTCTTATCCTTTGCAGGGCCGCAGGTACAACCTTCGGCCCATTTTCCGAATAACCAAATCAAATATCTTCTAACTACAACCTTGTTTTTCTCTTCTGCTTCATAACGCTGCAAATCTGTGATGTGCAACCATAGTTATTTTCACATTTACAGCTTATGACAAAAGGATTAATTATATATAACAAAAGCAGAATAGATGCAACCCTAATGTATTATACAATGTGTAGGCAAACAGATTACATCATCTAATTAGGATGCTCTCTAATGTATTCAAGTCATTGTGCTGCACTGAGGACCCTTAGAGACCCTCTTAAGGATCCTTAAACCAAAAGATGGAGGCCTCAACAGCCCCTGATCCACAAAGCAGATCTACACAGAACCCAGCAATAGAAAACTCACCTGTTCACTTCACATTATGTTCATCCACACACACGGATCACGGCACACACACACACACACACACACACACACACCAGCAGACTCGTTCGTATGCATGACGACTCCAGACCCTCCTCTTCATCATTACCCGGACTCAATATATGTGATAGAACAGAAAGTAACCTATAACAGACTTACATAACGACCACACACACACACACACACACACACACATCACACACACACACATTACACACAGCCTTATTGCACTGATGGTACGTTGAATACACACACACACACACACACACACAATACACACACACACACACACACACACACACACACACACTCATACATCTCACCCATATTTCGTCGTCACAGGCACACGATGCTAGCTGGCAGCATACGACCCATCTTTACATTTTCTGGCGGTTTTATGTGAAATTCACACAGTTTCATTCACAGAGCAGAGAAGGGCTCGTATTAATTAATTCAAATTCACATGTAAACGAAGAATTACATCATCTAAATGTCCAATGAGACAGCTGAGGAGAGAGCTGTGATGTGATGTTAACGGTACTGTTGCAAGTGGAAAGTAAACGGATATTAACGTCCGAACGCTGCCGTTATTAACGATTTTTAACGGCCCTAAATAAGCATATCGATGATCAATTCCTTCCAATTCTTGTCAAACAGAGGAAAAAACCCCTGACATCTTAATTCTTCACATTTCACACTCACATTTTTTGAGTTTCTTACCCTTTTTCTCTTTTTTTTAAATTCAGATTCCCAGGTCCTCGCCTCAGCAGCCGCCTCTCTCCGTTGCCCAGCACCAGCCGAGTGCGCGAGGACAGCTGGCACAGCGCGAGCCGCAGATGCTTCCATACCGACAGTCCGGCAGCAGCCAATCAGGAGCCGCTAGAACCTGAGCAACGGAAAAACTGACCAATAGGAGACGAGATGTGTCCGGTGAAGGGGTCTCCTCCTCGCAGTAGACAGGGGCGTGTCTGCTGCCTCCAGAGACATATGCTGCCTTCAAGGCTGTCGGAAATATTGCGGTTAGGACCTGATGAACTGAAGTACTAAATCTGAATCAGGGAGGTACAGATATTTTTTATAAATGTAAATTATAAATAATTGTTGTATCTATTGTGTTGTAAATATATTGAGATTAAAAGTTCAGTGTTCATTTTTAAAGTGGTTTACCAAACAATCTCACCACAAAGTCTTCTAATAAATCTCAATATAAAGTTATATAATAATTCAGAACCGATACTAATGGACCTTGTGGTTACATTGTTCTGTCAACTCTAAAAATATTGTTTTTACATCAGTAAGACTAAGACAGGTGACCAAACTAAGAATTATACTACTATTATACTAATAATTTATTTAATTTTTAAACAGTTGTATATCTGTTTTTGAAAAGTATTCAATAGTATAAATCCCATTAGGCTTTAGGGGTCCACATCAGTACCTACTATTACCGTTGCCCAAGCTCTCTAAGAAGACTACCCACATACATATAACATTTTACAAGAATATTTACAACAATGTAAACAATTCTGCAAGCGACGTAAAATAAATAGAAAACTCTGTCACTCAGTGGTAACATTTCAAGTCAGGTTGCTAAAATTAGATTAATGCACCTTCCACTAACCCTGCATAAAGTAGTGAGAAAATATTGAATTTCCCCCTGATATCAGTGACATTTTCTCTATTTTGATCTGCTGCTGCATCACAAAATAAAAGCTGTACTGACCAGATGAAACACTGCACGACAACAACAACAACAATAAAAACAATCCTCTGAAGTCACTGCATCCAGTTTTTGGTATTATTTCTGAACCGGGGCACTTGAATGCTACACTTCACTCACAAGGGCTTACAAGGAGCACTTGAAGGCAACAATATGGGGCTGAAGGGCCACAGCATGGACACAGGTTGCTCCCCCTTTGGCAGCAGGGCTGACTGGTGCTGTGGTGGGTATTAAGGAGGTGAGAGCAGTGTGAACAGAGGTTTCTTACAGGTGTCAAACTGATGAATAAGTTACTACCTGTCTGTCTGAACTGTAGGCAGATGAGGATTTATGGAGCAGGGCTGATGACTTCCTGAATATTATCTGAGTATAACAGCTGTATGATAAATAATTAATTAAACTATCAGCGAGGAAGGGCTACTGCAGTCTTGCCTTTGGCATTTTATAGACTTCATTTATATCATGATGTAATCTATCATAAGGCTGGTAGGGCTCACTGAGACACAGTTTTACCTTAGTAGCTTAGTAAAATATGGTGTGTGTATAGTTGCAGTATACTTACATTGTTGTCTGTTTTGTGAGTCTTTCAACTTCTGAATTTTCTGCTTCACAAAACTCCACACACAGGTGAAACAGAAACACCTTTTGTCAATAAAAGGGCCCTACAAACTTAGCAACAGTGCCGAGGTACAGGTAAAGGCTGCCTAAAACTGTCATTATTGATGTAAAGTGGAACATTTTTTAGCAAGTTTGGTAAAAGGGGAAGTTTTTTCTTTGAACATATTTCTATCCACACTGGAAACATTTGGTACTGACCTTATTTAAACATGCATTATCATATTTAAAGCCCATAGACATATACTGACATTGGGGGTGTAACAATTTTGACTTCTAAATCAAATAATTCAGTTATTAAAACTAGTTCCTGGCGCTGTGGGCCAGCTCCTGTGGTCTGAAACAAACCTCTCACAAGTGACAAACTGTCGATCACACACACTAACAGACAGACGAAGAAAGTGCTGAGTGTTATTGTGTTGATCTGATGTCAGCAGATTTTACTGAGCCTCAACAGAGAGACAGTTCAATCAGGAGAGACTCTGAACGTGCACAATGAAGATGAGAAGTGTGGAAAGTCTTTGGCGTTAGACCCCATCGTGATGTAATTGTCTTTGAAGGGAGTTGGTGAAGCTGTGATTAATATAGGAAACCAACTGATGGAGTCTAGACTCTGTGGTGGTGAATGAAGAGAATAAAGATCTGGATGTGTTGAAGAGCAGAGCTCTGATGTCTGGAGGTGAAAGAGGTGGATGGGGGGTCATGGAGGAGATTGTGGCTGAGTCTGATTGGTTTAACTGAAGGAGTAAAGGCCAGCATTGTCCGCTGATTAGAAAGGAGAGTGAGAGAATGAGGAGCTCTTCCTGATTGAACTTGACACCAAGCTTCATTTAATAAGCTGTTAAAAAGAGAAACTCAAATTGAATTGTGACTTTTGGACCCTTCCCTGACATAAAGGCAGATAACACTGAGCCTTCAGGCTGAATCACAAGAAACAGTCTTTTTTTTATTCACGTTTCATTTCTTACATTGTTCAAGTACAAAGTTAAAATGCCTTTTTAATTAGTCCATATTCATACAAGAGTAAAATAATAATAGTGCCTTTTCATTACTACGACAAACTTAAATACAGTCATTGTAAAGACAAACTTGATTTATACTCCTAACAATATATTTTTCTTATTTTCAGATAAAATTTTAGCACCTTTTGAAACACCACCAGGTCCTCCTTTTCCTAAAAGCTCATCTTTCATTTAATCCATGAGATGAGTGTCTGAATGCGCCACAGCATTGTATTTGTAAGTGTTGTGCATGTGTCTCTGCGTCTGAGCGTCGTCTGCTCTGTGGTAATAACAGTGTTTTGTGTGTATGTGGTTTAAGTGGATCAGTGTTGAAAACAACGCGTCACTCAGCCTAAAAGCTGTCGATAGGCGAACAGAAACATCATCACCGTGTCACCCATCATTTTAAAAACATCGACTCCATTCCTCTCGCCTTTGTCCGACTGCACTCTCAAACAGAGATGTGTTGAAATAACACCACCTGAAAACAATGAGCTGAAGTTCTGACCGTTTGTGAGCCTTTTACAACGAAGCTGGTTGTAACCCCTCGTCACACGACCGTTTCAACACACTCAGGTAACTGAACTTCTTACAATCTATGATGTATGTTAATATCTTCAGTCATCTGATCTTCATCTTCCAAAACATCCAACAAACATCTTCTTTAAAGTCTTACAGAAATTTTTTTTAAAAGACTTAAAATCTCTCTTTTATTAGGTCTTAACACAGTGGTTCCTTCATCACAGGTTACAGCCGTAGTGTTACTGACTGTTTGTGAGCAGTTCAATTGAAGAGTGATTTGTTGTACTTGCACTTGTCTCCTTTAAGGTTTTTTTTAGAGGCTTTGAGGCAGTGATGTGCGGGGGGCGGGCGTGGCCCAATTGTTGAAAAACGCGTGCTAAAGTGCCCTCTTGGGAGCCAAAATATGTGCTAAAGTGCCCTCTTGTTTGGCTTAATACACTAAATTGCCCTCTTGGGTGGAAAAAACACTCAACTGTCCTCTTCTGAGTTGTATTATTAGGTAGAGATGCCTATTGTATTTTTAAGGAGGAGCTACGTCACTACGTCTTGTGGGAATAGCTTTTCAAAGCTAACAAGTAAAGTTAAAAGTTGGGTTAGCATTGCATATCAGGGTTTCCACCAGGTTTAAGTTGACTCCCTGCCGACTAAGCATCTGGGATAATTTTTAAAAATGCTTTCTTGAAAATGCCTTTTAAACTTTTGCTTGCAAGTCAGGACAGAAAGTCTTGTTAGTAGGCTAATGCTATTGAGAAGGCTATTTATGTTGGGCCCTTTGTTGATCTATATTGAGCCAGAACTATATTTCACAGAACCAGTTTGGATTATCTGGTGTTAATATGGTGTTAAAATGCACTAGAATACAGGAAATGGCATCTACTTAATTGAAAATGTTCTGGGGGAAGACACCCAGACCCCCTAGGGATTTATTTCCTTCATACAGCCATGTTGCTGTGTGTTCTTCACAGTCCAATGTTGTAATCCACACAGTTCTCGTGGATGCTGATCCTAACAGCAAACTAACCTGAGTAGTCGGTCTAGTTAGTCTGTTTTAAGGCTATATAATGTTCCATTTGTATAACATATAAAACGTGTCTAAAGTGCCCTCTGCAGTGGTGAGGACGCGCTATATGTGCCCTTTTTTTCTTTCCACCCCTGCCCATCAAAAAGTCTGTGCACACCAGTGCTTTGAGGCCAATATAATGATATAAAATAAGTAACTGACAGATTTGTTTCTTTACACTTAATCAGTTGGCATAGGCGGCGCCAGGGTAGGGCTTGGTTGGGCTATAGCCCCATCAAGAATTGTGATAGCCCTACCATAAAACCAAGAGAAGTGCTGAGTCCAACAGCGCCTCCACGTTGTGACGGCATTCAGGCAGCTGCGATGACAACTGTCATGAGTGACGTACATACGTCTGTAGATAATATTAGCGGGTTACAGTCATAAGCTCAGGTCAAAATTTATCATGGATAAATTTGTTCTTAAACGTCGTCGGACGGAACAACAGATTGCGGTGGCGGGCGTGTTGGATAAAACTACGGACACACATTTGACACCTGCAGGGGAAGACGACCACTCCGGTCCCACGTCTTCCATGTGCCTGGTTTGACACATACAGCTGGCTTGAATATTCGAGATGGACGCAACTTTCTGCTTCGCCTGCCGACATTTTTTGGGTGGTGGTGGGCACCGGTTCCATTCAGAGCCAGCCTTTTCTAATGGATATAAGAACTGGAAACACGCAACAGAAGCCTTTAAAAAACACAACGCAAGTGCGGTACACAAGTTCGCCATGGAGGCATGGGCTGAATTTAAACTGGCAACGAAAGATGGCTCAAGATTGGGAAACATGATAGATGCGGGTCATTCAAAAATCGTACAAGAAAACAGAGAGTACATGAGGGCTGTGGTTTTGTCCCTGCGTTATACTGCCTGCCAAGGCATTGCTCACCGAGGTCATCGAGAGGATGAGGGGTGAGAAAATAAGGGCAACTTTGAACGTAACTGGTGAGTTTGACCAGACAGTAGCCAAGAAACTGAAGGATAATCCCAGAAATGCCAAATAGACACATAAAGACATTCAAAACTAGATTTTTGAAATTATGGCTGACATGGTCAGAAATTAAATAAGTGCAGAAACCCGAGAAGCAGAACATTTTGCCCTAATGGTTGACGAAAGCAAAGATATCCGTAAAAGTGAACAGATTTCCATTGTTGTGCGGTATTTAAAAGGAGACAAGGTGCATGCAGATGGCCTGGACACCGACTCCCTCCTGAGAAGCATACAACAGACTCTATCACCGTGCAATATTGACAAAAACATGAGTGTCGGACAGTGTTACGATGGCGTTGCAGTTACGTCTGGCTCCAAAAGCCCAATATCATCCAACTGCAGCCACAAATGAGCGTTCTTGTGCTGGTGGGGGTTCCTGTTTTCGCTGACTGGAACGCCCCTTCTTCTTCACCTTTCTTGCTGAACTGTAACTGTCAACATCCAGTTTAATATAACATTCGCTAGTTAGTGTTTCTCAACAGAAGTTTCAAAATAAGATCTAGTAGTCTGTAAATGTATTATAGAACTAACGTTAGCAAGCTAAGCCATCTACAGAACGTTAGTCCAATTACATCTTAATATGCTTACATTTACGTGTAGGACTAGTCTATATTTCTATTTCTAGTCGTTGAGGACAATTCATACTTTGCACATCACAACTACTGGCTGGCGGGAAAGAACATCGTCCTCCAGCAACGAAACCCAGTAAACTAATCAAGGATCTCACCAGGACGTCGTCGTTTCCCCTGGCAGTCATTCAGCGAAGGCGGAGAAACAGCGCTGCGCTTTGTTTTCACCCAAGTAAATTAAAACTAACAACAATTGCGTTGTTTCATTCAATGTTCTGGTGTTGCAATTATCTACGAGGTTTTGCAACATGGCCCACCCATCAAAATAAATGCGTTCATTCTTTTGTACGTCGTAACGTCGTACTACGTACTGAACGGAAAAACCAAGGCAATAATTTCCTCATGTGATTTGACATATAACACGCTGTAATTCAAGTCCTGGTATGGAATTTGTCAAACTAAATAAACGTCCATATCCAAAATCAAGATCACTGTGATTGTTTTCTGACTTCAATTACGTCTATTAAATCTACGTCACTCGAAATGTAACGTTACTAATGTTATAATAGACAGATGAAGTTGTATCCATGGTAACCACGTGACTGCAAAGTATGAATTGCGATTGGTCGACCAGGAACGCCCAATAGGCCTTCTTGTGTCATGGCGCGAACGTTTTGGTTGATGTGGCGTCAACGTTGAAGCAGCAGCAGAGTTTTTTGAAAACTGAACACAGCCCGTTGAACTTAAGAGCCTATCTGACACACACCGGCGACACTGCTAGATATCATGTCTCAGCCTAATGCACGGAGGAAAACTGAGGCCAGGGCTGTGAATGGACTTGTTGATGAACAGTTTGTCCTGCTTCTCACACTTTTCGAGGAGCTATTCCGGGTCACAAAATTCATGTGACCAGCTCCAATCTCCCACTCTTGAGCTTGCATCCACAATAGACTTATCAGAGTCAGTCATAGCGACATTGTCAGACAAACGCGCAGAAGAGTCGTGGGTTGACATTCGGGACAGAGCAGCGGACCTGTGCACCAAAGCCGGTGTGAGCCAGGACGGGACACGCAAAAAGAGACAGGCATGGCCTCCTCAAATTCTTCAGGAGTTTGTTGTCGAGGCCTCAGCTGAGCACACACCTGTTACAACTCCAGATGCGCTGCGCACACATTGTTATTACCCAGTAATTGACAGACTTGTGGGTGAAATAAGAAGACGTTTCTCAACAGAGGCGTTTTAATGGGAGTCTTAGCACTCAGCCCCAAACATGCGGCTTTCCTAGACAAGAAATGTCTGCAGCCCATGGCGCAGTTCTATGGAGTGACTGAGAAAAATCTGACAGCAGAGCTACACCAAGTTCAGTATTTCACTGACCCTGCCCGTGACCTCTGCTTCGTGCGAACGCAGTTTCTCCTGCCTCCGTCGGATTAAGAACTATCTACGGAACAGCAGCGGTGATACCCGAAACAGCGACTTGGCGCTGTTGTCCATCAGTAAACAAAGGACAAAGACTTTGGATATTCAGCGCATCATCGACATCTTTGCCTCCAATCACAAAAACCGGCGGATTGTACTCATTTGAAAATCTCAGTTTTTAATATTGTTGTTGTTGTTTTTGGAAACTTTGCTGACTTTGTTATTGCGTTTTGCGTGTTGCCTGTTTTATGCTCTTCCTTGCTGCGGTCCTGTTGCCTAATGAACATACTTCATTTGTTGGAGATGTGTTTTGACTCTTGGCTGTTGTGTGGGAGACTATATATGGCTTCAGGACAACGTAACTATTAACTATACTGTCTCTCTCTCTCTCTCTCTGTGTGTGTGTGTGTGTGTGTTTCTAGCTGTGGGAGGGTGTTGTTTTATTGAATATATATTCACATTGATTTGAGCCCCACCGTAGTTGAACCAGAAAAAAAACTCTGGCGCTGCCACTATCAGTTCGTGACGCCTCTGACTTATGTTTGGACCCTTTGGGGAGGTTTTGAACCACTGTGTTAACAGATAACTTGATTTTACTTATATAGTTTGATTTTAACACGTGCAAATAAACCAGGACGTTTTGATCACACCAGTTAACGCAACTAGTCTTCATGAATTCTGTGTCACCTTGCAATTTAATAAAACGATTAATCGATTTGTCGAATGAACATTTGTCTGCAATAATTTTGTATTAATTAAGTGATTAATTGTTTAAAGTGATTTAAATTCTCATCTTCTCAAATGTGAATATTTTCTATTTTCTTCTGATAGTGAACTGAATATCTTTGGGTTTTGGTTAAACTAAAGATTTGATTTTGACCTCACATTAATTTTTATTATATTACTATTAGCATTCTTCTCTATTTGCTGATGTTTTCTTTTGCTCTCTCAAATGATTAACCTTGGAAATAATCTGCAGATTAATTCATAAAGAAAATAATCTTTACTTGCAGGCTTTGGTAAAACTGTCAAGCGTTTCACAAGACATCAGAAAATGTGAACTCAATTATTTTCTTTCTTCTCCATGTGGTGTTATTTCAACCGGCTCTGGTTTGAAAGTGTCCTGTAGCTCATCAGTTTAACAATTTCTTCTGGCATCCTTGGGTACAATAGAACAAGTCACTATACTAACTGTAATATATGCTTTCTCTAGCCTCTCTCTCCCCTCTAGGCTGAGACTGAACTGAACTGAGCACCAACCTGGAACAGTACACACACACACAATAACAGATTATTATTGTAATTATTATTACCATTATTATTATGATCATTACTCCCTAATCTAACATGGAATCGGAGATTACACTGACTGACTGACATGCAGCACCTGGGGGTGAGGGAGTGGGGGTAGGGGGGTTGGAGAGGGAGGCGGGTTTTGGGAGCACCTTGGAAGCAGGGTGATGATGTCACACCCAGCAGCGCTGTGGGAAGCCTGATGGCAACAGGCGGCCAGCAAAAACACAGTGTGTATGCACGTGTGTGTGTGGATGCTGTGTTTTGTAGCTAAATGAGTTTAGAGAAGCGTTTGCATTGCGTTTACAGCAAATGTGTGTGTGTGTGTGTGTGTGTGTGTGTGAGAGTGCCACCTGCAAGAGCACTGTAAAAAAGAGCTGAGTTTAAAAAGCACCTGAAGGTTGGTTGTATAAACGGAGAGTAAACATGATGGAAAAAACTTTGAACCTGCTGGTTTATTGTTGGTTTTTGTTGTTGTTGTGCCGTGTGTGTGTGTGTGTACGTGTGTGTGTGTGTGTGTGTGTGTGTGTGTGTCAGCATAGACTGCATGTGTCCAGTTGTTAGCTGGTATCTGAGGAAGGTCAGAGGATCGGAAGGCTTCCTGGAAAAAGATGGTCGTCTGAGGACCAAAAGCACCAGACTGAAAGAGATGTTTTCTCAAAAGACAGCCCTGTGTAAATAAAAACATCAGTATGTTGTTTACACACACTGTCTGTGTGTGTAATAGTCTTGGAAACATTTTATTTGATGACAAGCCATTTTCTTTTACTTGCTTATTCCTATTCAGGGTCACAGAGCATCTGAGTTTTTCCCAGCATGCATTGGGCAAAAGGCAGAAGAAACACCCAAGTCAGGTGGTACAACTGTATCTTGTGACATAAGGAAGGATCATTATTTAAACAGGGCTGCTTCAGTCTTAGGAAATAGAAAACCAGCATATTGTCTACAGATTAAAGGTCTGCGTCTGGTTTTAGTGGATATCGCTGCAGTAACTTGAGGACATTTAGGGTCCCTATGAAACAAAGTAGGAGCGTAACTGCAAGGGCTGGTGGACTGTGACTACTGGTCACTTTAAACCAGACGTAAAATTTGCGACACTGAGATTGAGACACAAGAGAAGCTGTACAGTAATTGGAAGGGTTCAGGTTTAATCCTCCATTGACTTCCTTTCACTTCTGCCCTTAAAAACAACTAAAAAAGATCTATCTGTGTTTTAGTTTGCGGTGCTGCTCTGGAGGTACAAACAATCTCACCGGATGTATCAAAACGTGTTTGGTGGAGCTGAAGATCGATTGTGTTTTAGAGCAGACTTTTAAAGAGACATGTTTTGCCAAAACATCCACCTTCTTCTTGTTTTTAAAAAAAAATTAGATAAAAATTATGCTGTTGGCTTGCATTCGTGATGTTGGAAGGTCACAATATGTGCGACCCAGATAGCTATAGAGACAGTGCATAATGTGTCACACATAATGAAAGCCACTCTCATGATGGGTGAAAACAAACTGAGCCACACCAAAGTTAACCAAGCTACATAGAAAGACTACCTTATATTGTTTTTTTTCACAGTATAACTGTTTTTTCGGGCCTTTGTCTTCAGATTATTTGAACAGAAAGTACATCAACATAATTACCACTGTAGGCTTAAAATAGTGTCGACTTTCACTGCCTACTTAATGATACGATCCCATTAAGTAGGCCGAGGTTTGGTACAGTGACATCTATCAATCAGGCAAGTGACATAATTACTAAAGTGACAGACAGTATTATTCCAATTCTGCACCATTAAGATGAACATCACAGTCATTTGAATAACAGTAATCAATGCAATACAAGAGCACGAATGTTGTTGAGTAAGTATTGCATACCAGCATGAGGCAATAGACCCATTCTTAAGATGCTACTAGTGTACAGTATATTACAGTATATTCACCAAAGCATTAGCTAGCCTTAATGTACAATCACTGCCTAAAACATTGCAAAAACCACCAAGAAACAATCAAAACAGTATGAGTTTTTAAACAGCACACGAGTGCTTGTTGTACGGAAACCTAACAGTGGATGTAGGTCCTCACAACTAAGAGACATGCAGCAATATTGTATATATATATATATATAGCGAATGACTATGTAATAAGTATAAAAGCTGACTTTATTCTGTCTTTATTTTACATGTTTTTCTAATCCAGTGACTGCTAACAGTAACTCTGTGGAACACAAAGGATTGACTTAACCCAACATGAGAGTGTTTCCTTGTTATGCACTCACTTTATACTGGTCTGTCTGCCCACTAGAGGGCACTCTAAACTGTGGAGATGGAGACAGTTACAAGGCTTTCCATCACTACTATTATTACTATTATTAGTCTTTTTATTTTGTTGATGTCAACGTCTAGACTTTGTCTCGTGTATATTTGTCTGTATTTACATCCCCAGGAACATTAGCTACTTCACTGGTGGAAGCTGATGTGGATTCTATTAACATTAGGCACTATGGAGATACAGGGTAACAAACAAGAACAATGGACTGTGGTATTACCCTCTTTTATTTCAATATTTCAACCCACTGAGGTTTAACTCAGCTACTGATATCATTTGAACCTCCAGAGCAGCTTTTACAATCTGATTTAGTTGTAGTCACGTTAAAAAAAAAGGCTTCACATGAATCTATCTGAATACAGTTGCCGTTGTTTGTCTTTTTGGACGCTCCCTTTGCACACTCTCGCTAAATTTGACAAATAAATAGATGTTTAAAAAATGCACCTCTCTTGCCTGGTGTTGCCTCCACATGCTTGTTAATTAGGGACACAAAACTGTAGCGACTGAAACAACCAGAGACCATTCAGTCTCCAAGAGCACCAAAAACTTTAAAAGTGTTGTATTAAAGTGGCACCATTTGGAAATCTATCACTACCTGACCAGCACCACAAGCGTTAACTGGTGTATGTGTGTGTGTGTGTGTGTGTGTGTGTGTGTGTGTGTTCATTGCACTGTAATACACCAGCAGCACTTTCACTACGCTTGAATACAGTTGAGTTAAGTGTTACGGTTCAGAGGGATTCATTGGTGTGTTGTTGTATTCAGAGAATTGTTAAAAACAGAAAAAGTCGGGGCATCTCATGTCAGTGTTGCAACCCCCCTGGAGGTTTTTGAACTCCAGCTACTACGACACAGTAAAGCAAGAAGACACCAGTTTCAAGGTCGGACAGGAAGTTGTGTGTGAACAAATACAGTACAGAGACCCTGCACCAGTATGTGTGTGTGTGTTGTGTGTGTGTGTGTGTGTGTGTGTAATCAGCAAGGTAGCACCGGGGGACTAAGGTCAGCCAGTGGTCTACATGGGATCTAGGGAAGCAGTCCTTTACAGTGTGTATGTGTGTGTATATGTGTGTATGTCCGGTCATCTTTGTCATACCGCGTCAGCCAACCTTCATGTACTAACTGTATACTCTGTGTTCTTATCTGTGTGTGTGTCTGTCATGACATACTCTTATGTGTGTGTGTATGTATGTATGTGTGTGTGTGTGTGTGTGAGACAGAGAGAGAGAGTTGGTGGTGCGTGACTAGTTGCAGGCGAAGTACTCCTTGAGCGGCGCGAAGAGGTGCCTGATGACTGGGACGCTCCAGGAACGTCCCAGAAGCCTTTGCCTGGCCAGACGACTCATGTTGGACACGTCGGTGTAGTGGACGGGGAAACCAAACACCCTGGGAACACACAGGACAATTTCTTTTTTAGTTAATGATAAATTATTTATGAAGCAGAGCTGAAACAATTAGTTAATGGATCAATAGTTCAAACATTTACTGGTTTCCCAAATATGAGGATTCATTACAATTCGCTTTTTCTCTTATTGATGTAAATTTTGAATATTTTGTGGTTTTGAACTGTTGATCAGAAAAAAAGCTATTTGAAGACATAATTTTGTTATTCTTCACTATTTAAAACAATAAACAATTAATCAATTAGTGAAGAAAGTTGCAGTATCTCTGACCAGACAAAACTGATCTTACATAATCTATGTAATGTAATGTTTTCTTAAAAGAAAAAGACATTTTTCAGTTATCTCAAAGATGATGATTTTAGCTCCGTAAAGAAATGATCAACACCAGATTGTAAATAAAAGTATAGTAATAGTAATAGTATATAGAGTAGTATATAGTAATATAGTAATAGTAGGAAAACACTACTGTAATGATGTGCATTTTATAGTAATAACACAGTTTGGTTAACGTTATTGCTTTGACTTAACTACAGCAGGGGCAAGCGTCGGGGTGGAGGGGGGTAGTGACGTTAATGTTAAGGAGAAAAGGTGTGACTTTGTTTATTCATTTAGTCTATAAAGGAGACATCATTTACCCAGGAAAATGGAGGACAGAAATGCATGGTGAAAGCAAGAATAAATCTAAATACAGCTGGTGTCATTATTCTATAACATTTACTTTATAATGATAAGTTAGGCAATTTCTACTTTTTGTGCAAACCATTTCAGAGTTAGGATTTGATGAGCTGTTCTGGGGACAATCAATCTAATCTGACATTTAAAAAAAATATAAATGGTTTAGTTAAAGTATAAGTAAAACATCTCTAAAATTGACTTATGAATTATTTTTAACCTCTGATATAAGTTTAATGTTGTTTTAACAGGAAACGTTGCACAAAAAGAAAAAGAGACTACAGTTATATACAGTATATCTGGATTTGGTCACCAATGTGTTACAATACAGATCAGAAAATTCAAAAAAATTAAACTTAATTTAATAAAAGGACGATTAAGGCAGAAAATGCTGGAACTTAAATTAAACATAACATAACATAACATAACATAACATAACATAACACATTGTCACCTAATCAAACAGGTGTACTGAGTTATTTAAGAACTACAACACCATGCAGATTAGAAACACAAACACAAATCAAAAGAACTTAGAAATACACTTATATTAATTCTTTTGTGAACTTGTGAACATCCATACAGGATAAAATTAGAGGGACATAACGCACACAGAGCAGAGGCACAGACACAAACACAAACACAAACACACACCACTGTACCTTTCCATCTCGGTACACCAGAGGATGTCCTCCTTGTTGTCCATGAAGACGGGGAAATGCTCATCTTTCCCCTGCTTCACAGAGTTGGAGCGTGTCGTTATGGTACGCAACTTCTCAAACTGGAATTAACATCCAGAACCAAACACACACAAACACACAAACACACAAACACAGACAGACACACACACGCAAATCCTTATTTAATCCTACAGCTATCTTTCTTTACGTACAGCAGCTTTCTAACATAAACATTGGGATTTAAAGAACTATAGTAAGACTATACGTCATTTTTTAACAAACTTCCCAAACTTGTGTCAAAACCCTCAATCTCACTGTACCACTAGTCAGGACATCAGATATCACAAGATAATAAGCACAAACTCACACATACACACGCTCACAACGGTACATACCTTGGCTGTACGTCCGTGCTCGAGGCACTCTTGTAGGTCGAGCTTGTCATTCGTCATGGGTGTGAGAGGTCTGACATTAAACGAAACATGGAGACAAAGCATTAAAACGATGTATCAGAGGCACTTTTTCCTTCAGAAATTCATGAAAAATGTATAATGAAGTTAACAGAAAGTAAACTGATCGTAACAATGGTGTGTGTTTGTATCACCTGGACATTCCTGGCAGGTTGCCCCAGAAATAGCGAGCGCGGTGGGCAGCAGAGACCTCCTTGGCATCGATCATCACTGGGTTACACTGAGGAGGAACAGCAGGTTTACTTCCTGTTTCATTTACTATGAACATCTTCTGTCCGAGAGGTGTGTTTATATTATCTTACTACAGCTCACAGATGTAAAATCCCATGAGCTCTCCAACTCTCTTAAAGTTTAAGATGTTTTTTTGTGATGTGAACAACATGTAACCTAATAATTAAATTAAACAAATAGTAAAATGCATTATGCTCAAGTTAACTGCTTAATTGTTGTTGTTTTTTGTTTGCTGTAGTTTCTTTTTGTGTTGCTATAAAAAGCTCTAATAAAACATTTTACAGTCAAAATGTATAATAAAGTAGGTGGTTTATGTTTCCTGACACGGCAGTAAATCTACCACCGACATATATTTCGTCTCACACTGGTTAAATGTGAGTGATTCGCCTGAATCTGTATTCATATGAATGTATTTAATAACCGTATTTAGTGGGTGTGTTCACAGCACCTCTAAAAAGCGTGAGATGTCCCGTTTGTCGCTGACTCCCATCGCGACCACATTCTCAAACAGCCAGAAGAACGGCCGCTCATCGCCTGGCTTTGGTCGAGCCTCGTGCAGCAGACGGTAAAACTCAAAAAACAACCGTCCGGTTCCCTCTGCAGGAAGGTAGAGAAGGTTCAGCCTCCATATTTAATTACATTATTTAAAATTAGACAATCATCAGGGCCTCCGAGCATTTGTAGTTTGTAGTTCTATTCAAAGACTGCTTCTTACCGTAAAGGCCTTTTCTTGCAGGGTTGACTATGGAGAGGTCGTTGCAGGGGCTTCCTCCTATCACCAGGTCAAATGGTCCCCACTCTTCGATCTAACAGGTAAAACATAGTAGGACTTAACATCAGAACAAGAGTAGTAGGGGTTTGGTGGAGTGAAACAATCCAAAACAATCAGCTAGCACATAAGAAGTACTAAGCACTACTTACACTTAGAGCTTGTGTGATCTGAACACAAGTGGCTTTAAATTCAGGAGTGAAAGTCCCCAAAAGTTACAGATTAATCAATTATTCTGCAAAAAGGAATTTCACTCACATGTTTGTGTGTTACATTGCGTACATCACCCACATACATGATGCGACCCTGGTGTCGAACCATGCCGACAGTGATGGAGTCTTCACACACCTCAGACGCAACGTATTTGTCAACCTGGATGCCCAAATCCTTCAGAACCAACAGCCCTGAGTGCACACACACACACACACACACACACACACACACACACACACACACACACACACACACACACACACACACACACAGATATACATTCATTAGTCATTACAGTGGTGAGGTTAGAGAACCAGTAGCATAAATCTGGAGAGCTGTTTATTAAAGATATTTAACCCCCCAACTCCCCCAGTGGAGCTGCTCAGTGACTAGCTAATAAAAGACTGTGGTAGGACTGGGAAGCTTCCAGGTATGCACTTGGTGTAACTGTGTGTGTGTGTGTGTGTGTGTGTGTTTGAGCCTATGTCTGTCAGCGATACCTCCCTGGTTAAATAAAGCTGCAGTGAGGTTTCACTGCAAAATCATTCATGTTCACAATTTGTTTAAGCAACAAGACCTCAAAACAAATTCTGCACTATGAGTGTTAAAATGTATCAATCAGTCAGTCGTTCCAGTTATTTATCCAAAACAAATGCTTAACATTCTCTGGTTGCAGCCTCTCTCTCTCTCTTTTGTTCTATATCCCTGTTTTAAATTTTGGTTTCTGGACTAAAAAACTAAATAAACACACCAGCTGGAGCTCTGGGAACATGTAAGCAGGTATAATATTTTACCATGTTTACCATCTTGGTTTAGTGTGTAAGCATGCTAACTTTTTCATTAGTTTTGCAGGTATTTGTTTATAAACAAAAGTATTAGACGGCACTACAGAGTAAAGAAAAGTTAAAAGATCACCAGAGTTATAATAATTCATCCTGAGGGAGACATGGATGTAAATCTAATGACAATCCATCCAGTAGTTGTTGAGTTTACTCAGAACTGCAAATGTCAACCTCATGATGTTGCCAGAGCAAAAGTCACAGGATCACTAAAGTCAGTAGGATTCATCCTATGGAGACCATGAATATCAGTCCATCCTATAACTGTGGACTGACTGACATCGTCTATTAATAAAAATAAATTAACAGATCATGCACATTAGTTGCAGTCCTGCTCATATGTACCTGTGGCAATGCCGTCGAACAGGGAGAGAACTCTGATTGGTTTCCTCTTCTCTGCTGCAACTGGAGGATACAACTTGGCTGGCTCCTGAATAACAGTTAGGAGTTAAAAGGGAGAAGAGACACTGATGAGAACGGACAAATACTTCAACAGCTTTAAGGCAGAACAGCACATAACACAGCAGCTTTATTTATGATGACGATCTGCTCGGCAAAAGTCTGGATTGAGAGCATCAATAATTGAATGTGAACACGGTCTGTTTTGATGTGTATTAGCCGTCATGGATAATTTAAATGTGCCCTGGAGCAGAAGCCTCACTAATCCCCAGATGTTAATGTTCGACGTTTAACTGTGATGTATTTTGCCTAATTCTTCTAGTTATGTTATGATAGCAGATTAGACACAGGATGGCCAATATATTATATTTTCTACACCTAACTGACGTACAGTGCGTTGTGTGGACTGAAATTACTGTTTTGCTGTTATAGAGTTGAGTTATAGGAGTTCATTAAGTGTGAGATTTTGAGGCACTTGTTACTTAATGCTATATATCGCTACTCTTCAGTATATTGTACCATTTACTCCACTACATTTGTTTGATTTGGCTACTAGTTACTTTTAAGATTTAAGATTTGAAATACAACATATAAAAAGATCTATTCTAATAAAAAAGACCCACATTTACCAGCTCCATTTACATTAAAGTGAGGAACGTATCAATTAATCAATAATTATTTTCCAGTAATATATCAGCCATTCTGTATTATGACTACTTTTAAATTTAGTACTTTACAGATATTCTAACACTTTTTTTCCCTTTTACTTTATTAAAGAGTTTGAATCTAGGACTTTTACTTGTATTTGTACATGGTAGTAATGCTACTCTTAGTTATAATAAAGATCAAATGAGCCCTAAAAACAAATTCAATTAAAAAAAAAAAAAGGTAATTCAATTTGCTCTTTTTAAATGTATAATTGTGATAAGTGATGATTTTAACACTTAAAAGCTTTAGAACTATTTTAGGGACACACTCTGTAGGTTTTATCTGTGCTTCATCATTAAACTTGTTCAATCATATACCTACAAACACTACTGTGAACTATTGATCAACAATCATAAACACAAATGAAATAAGTGGAAACTGTCAGACGTACGAATTCCTGTTCATGGTTGTTGGCAAAGAAGTGCTGTAGTCTGCAGGGCCAGTCGTCCCGTCTTCGAAGTAACCCGTATGTGCTCCGGGGTCCGCACATGTAACAGTTCCAGGGGTCTTCTTTGATGGCTGCCACCGCCGAGCCAGCTCCTACCAACAGATCCACACACTCCACACAGAAACACCTACACACACACACACACACACACACACACACACAACACACACACACACACGCCATGAGACCTGTGTTTTCCTTGATTTTCTCTACTAGACTGATTATGTAATGTTATTTTCTTTTTATAAATGAAGCTTTTTGTCCATCATCCGCTGCTTTTTGTGGGTTTAATATGCTTAAATTAAAGATACACGGCCTTGTGGGCATATCTTTGCATTCAGATTTAACATTCTCATTTACTAGACGGTATTTCCCTAAAGAGAAGATCATACTTTGTTGCGGAAATAATAGCTGGCTTTGTCCTCAGTATCTGAGGCAGATTATAGGATGAACTTTATTATCACGACTCCAGTGGTGGAATTTAACAATGTACATTGACTCAAGTGCTTAGGTACCATTTTAAGGAAATAGTTTACTTCAGTATTTCCATTTGCTACTTTGTACTTAGCCAATATTGTACTTTTTACTGGACAACATTATTTAAAAACATTAATTACTAGTTACTTTGCAGATTTAGACACAATCAATTCATAAAATATGATGTATTATTATTAAGCTACCCAGCAGTTGTTAAAATTAGCTTCACCTTTACCAGCCGCAGAATTATTGATACTTACATACGAATGCATCAATAAGGAAATCATCCAATAACATAATATAAATGATTCTGCATAATGAGTATTTTTACTTTTGGTATTTTAAGTATATTTTGAGCCTTATTAAGTTAAGTTTTGAATGCAGGACTTTTACTTGTAACTGAGTATATTTACACTGTGGTAAGACCTGAATCCTTCTTCCAGTATCACTCCCAGTATCTGCTGTGTTGAGCTGCAGTGACAAGGTCAGAGTCTAGATGCCAAAATAAACTGTGTATTCACATAAATAAATCTGCTCCACACAAGTTGGCTGACTTCGTCCCCAATAAAGGGAACCATAAATAATTTTTGACATTTATGGGTAAATTGTTTCTGTTGATGTGAAATCCAAAACCTTGTCCTGGCCACAAAAAGAAGCAACAGCTGCTTGCCAATCCCTAAAATTCAACAGTGTATACAGTATTGTACTGACCTACAGCAGTTGTTGTTGCCACACATGAGCACTTCCCTGCCTCCACAGCAGATGGTGCAGTAGGACTGGTAGCCGTCGTCGTCGTACTGGTAGGCACACTCCAGGAACGAGTTCTGGCAGAGCGTAAAGCAGAGTCAGAGAGGGGAGCGTGTCTTTGTTGTCCACGATAATGAAATCCTGTGTTTATTTTCATGTGTGTCTGTGTAATATCTCAGACATCACCAGCATACAACCAACGTGTCAACAATATTTTTACTGCTTTCAAAACAGAGCAAAAAAGGAGCGAGCTACTTGTAAGGATTTGCCCCACGAGGGAAATGTAACTTCCACAGATATTTGATAGTTTAATTTGTTGTTCAACAAACTAAACTATCAAATATTCTCTGGTTACAGACTTTTCTCTGTTTTATATCACTGTGTATTAAATATATTTGGGTTTTGGACTGTTAGTCGAACAACTAAAGCAATCTGAAGACATGAACTTGGACTTTGGAAAACTGGAAATGTTTTTTATGAATTATAGGCAGAGGAAATGTATTAATTAAGAAAACCCAATAATGAAATTATCATAAGTTGCAGTAGTCTATATGGAGAAAAGTTTGGTACATGTGTTTGCATTCAGTCACATGTTGCCTGTGTGTATCAATCAATATCATCAATATTACAATATCAATAAGAAAATGTTTATCTATTTAATAATAGTGTATATCACTATATGGCAAAACAACAATCAAATGTAAAATAATCAAACTGATGCTTAATGTAATTAATTTGTTATGTATAACATCATGACATCATGATATGATCATATCAGCATTATATAAGTTCATAATAATTATATTATGTCATGATTTAATAATAATAATATTCAATTATCACTCATCCCAAAGTCTCTGGGAGGTTTCTTACTTTGCAACCCTGGCACATTGCTCCTCCAAAGAGAGGATGCTCCAGAGAGACGTTGAGGCTTCCACAGGAGATGCAGATATCTGAACAAACACAGACAGAAAACAAGCACACAGTGTTATATTGAACTCTTTGTTTGGCCCTTTGATTACATTAATGAACGAATATACAACCAGTAAGACTTTTACTGACCCAAACAACCACAATGTGCCAGTGATCAATAACACAGACTGAATAATTACTTGGCCAGGTGCTGTGATTTACAACTTTAAGTCTACTTTCCAGCTCATAATCTATTTTGGATTCCCAGACCCTCACCACCAGTCCACCGGGGAATTATTATTGTAGCTCTTGTTGAATGAATCAGCTAAATAACAAAAATGTAAACAAAAACAAGAATTGGATTCCAGAGATGTTTAGCTCTGAACTATAAAAACACTTCACAGTGAAAACTACACTGACTGAACCCTAAACTTCATTTACAATATAAGTAATTTAATTTAGGAGTAACTCTTAAACTGGTTAAAATGTGAAAAACTGACCCTAATTGACCTTTTTACTTATTTAAACAGGAATGAAACTACTGATACTGAAGGAATAACAGTCTTGCAAACAGTGTACTAACATTTAAAGATACAACCAATGTTATCTCCTGTATTGAGAATGGGATAAAACCTCAGTATGTATTGTAATGGCAGATAATGTAACAAAATTACATATACAAAAGATTGCTTCAGAGAGATAATATTTTCTTAAATAACAATGTGGGTGTTAAATTTAATGATTTGTCACCTTTAAAACTAATTTAGAAAGAAGATACTTTATTCAGTTTTCACAACTGGGATGGTTAATGCTGTTTAGCCATTAAAATTAAAACAGTCAATCCTTTTACAGAAGACATAATTAATACATAATTTCTTATTTCAAGTCTACATTTAAGAATGATGATTGAAAAAAAGCCTGAAACTTTTACCATCTATGTTCCTGGTCTTCTTTTTTATCTCCAATATGAGTCTCTCTGGAAGAAAAAATACACACAGTTCATAAAACAGCCAAGATTTTATGTAAACAAAATATAGTCAGCAGTATCTTGCAAAGGTCGGTGTCTCCAAAATGTGAATAACAGTTATTAATAAAAACTACCATCATTTTTTAATCCTTTGACATTTTTTCTTGTAAAGAATTGTCTATTTCTGATATAATGTTCTGGGTGTTTCTCAGTGCGACAACAGTAACACCAACAGTGACAAAGACATAAAATATTGACCTATATATAAGCAGTTAATCAGAAAACCTGTGCTGGTTAAGCGCAGGCATTAAACAATGACTCAAAAATGACCAAAAAGCTCTCAGCTCTTAACAAACTTAAAGGTTAGTGGTATTTATTTCAACATTTTTCTCTAAGTGGAAGAGCTCACTCACTCCTCCACTTACTCATTTTTTAAATAAACACACAGAGAAGTTTGAAAATAAGCAGCTTCAGCTGAAATTGTATGTTTACCTCTGGTCCCTTCGTCGATCACCTCTCTGATCTTTGCTTTTTCAGCTGCGTTCTTGCGCGGTTTCTTGGCAGGTGGAGGCGTGTACGCTGCCTCAGGTTCAGCCCACATCTCTGGGTACACTTCCTTATATTGATTCTGTTCACCTGAGGGGATATGGACAGAATTAACATTGTCACCTGACCTTCGAGTTTGGCTTTTCAGAACAGCTATAAACACTTTAAGCCTTTAGATAATTTGTACAAACTAGTTAGGATACACCTGCCTGTACTGTTGATACAGTTCCTTATATGTTTTTAAGCAAAAAACTAAAAATCCAAATAGTAAATGGGTCCTGCCATCATATTCTTGGAGCAAAACTGGTCAAATGAAGGTTATTTTGTTGGTTTTATTGTTACTTTCAATGATATTATTCAGGTCAGGTCTTATATAATAATATAATATAACAGTGATACTTTTCTGTTGGTCAATAAACTCAGAATATTTACTGAGCTGAGGGCAAAGACGAACACAGAGAAACTTGTTCACAGTTCACAAAACTGAACACATCTTAATTTCCTTTATTTTTAACAAGACATTTGCTTTGTTTTGTTTGTATGGGTTGTCATTTTGATTGTTTTTTGTGTGAATGTGTTTATCGTCATGTTTCTATGTATGAAAAAATAAATAAAATAAGTGCTCACCCTCTGGAGGGTCCAGTGATTGTGGACCATTGGGGAGGAAGCCGGTCATTGCCCACTCGATCATCTGTCTGGTTTGAATCTCTACCCCGTCTGCATCATCGCTCGCATCACAGGAAGGAACTGGCCTCCCCGCCCGTACACTGGCCACCTACACACAAAACACACACAGAACGTGTCAAATAAAAGACATAAATACGGTAATCATGTCCGTACATGAAATAGTGCTAAACATGTGCAGGTTTTAGTGTACTAATCCTTCGCTGCTTGTTTATAATTGTACAGAAGTTCTAATGAGTGCTAACCCAGTGTGACGCTGTGGAAGAAGTAAATGACCATGTGTTCTGTATTAACTACAAGAAATAAAAGTATTGCTGGATCAAAAAAAAACCCCACAAAAATATGAGATTGAAACAAACGTACCCACATGTTACCACTTATAAACTGTGGGCAGAGCATGATGAGAACAACACCTCCACAAACGCAAAATACCAGCCAGTCTCAATGCAAATCTGCAGAGGAATAAGTAAAATGTGACCTTTTCGACTTGTACATTTATATTTTGGTCTTTTTAGATGTTGGATTGCATCCAGACAGCAGCAACAGCGTCAGAAATGACACAAAGCCACACACACTCCCTGACGTTAAGAAGTAGTTTTTAAAATGGTGGGTTTGTTACCTGCAGAGCCTCAAAGATGGCTTTCCGGTACATGGACTGTTTGTTGTAGGTCGGCTGGTGGAAGGCAGATGAGAAGGAGCTCAGAGGCATCAACTTCTCCACACACACCTGTAAAACAAAGAAAAGGTCATTAATATTATCAAGATTAAAAGGAAAACAGATCAACACTAACAAGGCCTTAAAATCCTTAAATAATGTGAAATTGTGTGCCACAGTAAGTGCAAATATTTTTAGGAAAGATGGCTACAAAGGCAAAGGGGCATTGGTGCAAGATATCTGTGTCACGTTTTTATTTTTTTTTAATTGTTTTACTAAATTCTAAATTTAGTCAAAAGAAAAAGAGAAAAAGGGAAAAATCCAGGTTGTCTCATATCAGATCACAGTTAAAGTATCATCTGCTCACTAAAGTTTCTGCTAATCAAGTGTTGAATTCACACTGAAATTTAGTTTGAAATAGTTATGAATGCCTTAACTGGGACAGTTTTCTGACGTCTTTAAAAGCATGAAATCAGACATTAAGCTACTGCCTTGCGGCCAAATTACTTCCCTAAAAATGATATCTGTAACAACAACAGATGTTCTCTCTTTCTCTCTTACTCTTTGTAGAAGGACTTTGGGTCCCCTTTCTTTGCATCTGATGTGACTCTGCTGGGCATTAAACACACATTATACCAGTATTTGATCAACTTATTTAAAGGATTCCTCAATAAAACTACTCACCACAGAGAACTTTCCATCTCCAAACCACATCACCCAGCGAGTTCCGTCTGCAGCTCGACTTCGGCCACTCATCCACCAGGAAACAATCCTGCCGGGCCACCAAGAGAAACCTCGCAGCTTCCCAAACACCAGTGTACCGATGCCAAAACCTCTGCCATCCTGTTAGCACACGAAAAAACAAAGCAGTCAAGACAGAACAGACAAAGAGTCCAGTCAAGTCTTCTGTGTTACAAAAATTACAGATGAAAAGCAAATACAAAGGAATGTAAAGGCACAGTTTCAACACAGTTAGAAACTAAAACATTTTACACTGTTAGAGTCTAAAAACGTCGGATGTAATAAAGGGGAAATTACTTTTTCGAGGCCAGAGATGGAAAATTCACAACAGTACAACAAAAGGACTTTTCAGTCAGCGTTCTTCATCTTGCAATGGTTCAGTCGTAAAGGTTTATGAATATTTGAGTTTGCAGAAAGCAAAGCAATGAGTAAAAGATGTTATATCTACGAAGCATCTAAAGATTATATGTTTTATCGTGTGTGCACATGATAAAAACTTGTGGGCAAAAGTTATTACTTTCTGCAAGCAAGACAAAAAGAAAATCTTTTGGGGCTTTGGGAGCTCTGCATATTCTCTCTGCTAGTGAACTCTACCATTATTCCCTCAACCTCTACACCTTCTGCTGTTTTATTAGTTGATCTAAACACTGAAGATTACTTCCGGAGACCCACTGTGGTTTTCTGTAACATATCTTGGGCACGCACTAGAAACGTAAACGCAGTAGAAAAAAGGACCGAAAGTCATTCCGATGACTTATTAATAAATTTACCTGGTACTCTACCTCGCTGGGTGTGGCTTGTTCTCCCCTGGCAACTGGCTCCGGTGTCACAGCAACCGTTGGAGACGCGGGGTCCGTGTGTTGTTGTGAAGGGGGAGGGGCTGGGCTGGCTGGCTCCTCCTCTTTGTGAAAATCACCCTCCGATAGGTCGTCCATCATGTTCATCTCCGCCTCTCTGTACGCCCGTCGCTCTGCCTGTGGAGGAGGAGCAGAGACCAGCGTCAAATGGTGAGCCACCAGAGGAACGCTGAGACGATTTTAAAATATTTTAACACATGTCATTGTGTATCTATCCTTGCACAATGGCTGGACCTGTTCTGAAATCTATTTAAGTAAAGTTAAAATCAAGTTAACTACAGCACAAAACAATGAAAAGCTACACAAGCAGGGCTACCATGGGACTGTGCACTGAAAGAATACATAAATAAGTACGTCAGTGCACGGTATTTAAATGGTTTAATATTTATTCTGTACTGTGGAAATTAATCCTTAAATCACGGGTTGTAAAAAAGCTTTTTTCTCTAAATACATAGTTGTGGTAGTAGTGCTTGGATCTCAGCATTTAATTCATTTCTGTGAAGAAAACTAAATGAAATTGTTATTATTTAAAATATAAACCTAAAATAAATCTCACAGGATAAATTCAATCTTGAATTCAGTACTTAGTTTCATGGTACAGTTGTTCTTTACTTTTATTGTAATGCATAGGCTAATATAATATAATATATAATCACTTATGTCAGGGGTCGTCAGTTTACTTAATGATAGAAAAAGGTTAATGAAAAGGTTGGGAACCACTGCCTTAAACAAACTCTGGCTGTGGGAACCGTCCACTGGCATTTTTGACCTCATCTGGAATTAATTATAAGGCAGACAAAATTATCTGTTATTCTACTAACATCACCATCCCCAAGTCGGCAGGTTTCACAATTTCTGGCTGACGGTCAAATTTTCCTTTGGGGAAAACGCCTCCACATACACTACATAGCCTCCTCCACTAGCGCTGCTACGGTTAGATAATAGATTACTCATTCAGTGCTTTCATCAAGGAAAAATACAAAACATTTACAACATAATCTCATATGTCAGGAGTCGCAACTCTGCTAAATTTTCACATAATTATAAACTGAGGACCAGGACTTCCACTTTAGTCCAAGGAAAAGGCAACTGGAGGACATTTAATTGTACTCCAGCAACCTTTGATGGACAATTTGGAGAATTAAATCAATAATGCAGAGGAATAAGTAAATAATAATGATATTGAAAAATTCAATATTCAGTTAATCAATCTAGCACCTTTTGTAGAGGTTAGTGTAATCCAAAGAGCTTTAAACACAACACAAATGTCAACAGTAAAACAATTTCAGACTGTATGTGTGTGAAATTAGAAAAATGTAACAATCAAACCAATAAAATAGATAGAAAACAAAAACAATATCATGCATTAGAGAGTAAATGCAACAAAATAATTGCTAAAAAAATAAAACATTTTATTTAAAAAAAGACTGAAGAGGTGTTGTAGGTTTTACGTTTACATTTGAAGATATTAGAATTACTAATATTATTAATACTACCAGTTCTAATAATTATTACTTATTCTGTAGGTGAGTGTGGCATCTGATCGATAATCCATATTCAGATCAATTCAGATTATGGGACAGACAAGTATAACACAAGACCATTTTGTATTTTAGTAGCTACCTTCTAGTTTAATTTAATGCTTCTATCTGGTTGGATGCTACATTACATTTCGTTGTCCTGGTACTTTCAGTATGCAGTTGAATTGAATCTACGTAAACAAACTATTATAAATGTCATTTTAAATGGAGTCCACTGTCGGGTGCCTAGACGCTGTATGAGTCTAATCTTAGTTGAAAGGATGAGTTACAAAAGTCTCCACACCGAACGGTCATGTTGTCAACTATCATATCAGCTACAATCCGTTCTCAGACTGTAACATCGAATGTTATTGTCATTGAATGTCTGACAGTCTGGTGCTCCTGTGTGTTATTCATTCGTCATAACCTTTGTGCTTTATTCCTGTTCAGTCTACAGGCAAACACTGTCCTTCGAGGAGGTCCTATAATTGATGTTTTATGTGGGTCTTTCGAGCTGATGTGGTGGCTGCTCTAGATCAAGGCCTTAGTGCTCCAGGCCGTAGGAACAATCCTTTAATTGTTTCTCTAAACAGGAAGTGAGTGGGGAGAAAGGGTGCGGTGGGGAAGCAGTTCAATGGGTTCAAAGAGAGAGAGAGAGAGCGAGAGAGAGAGAGAGAGAGAGAGAGAGACAAAGAGAGGGGGAGAGAGTAAATAGGATTATATTATAAAAGTGAGGAATATAATACAGATAGACAGAAAGTGGAGCATTTTTAGTAGAAGACAGAGAAGATACATTACAGAAGATTAGGTTTTCAAGTTAAGGTCAGTTTTTCTACTTTATGATCAATTGTTACACTACAAAAGTGATTTATCCTAAAATGTATCAAGAAGTATTTAGATCTTGTTTTACTCTATAAAAATACACCATTACAACTTAAAGTCCTGCCTTTATAATGTTGCAGTACAAAAGACTTGGAAGAAAAATGTACTTGAAGGAAGAGTTGACACATACTTGCTTTCTGGTGTTGAGTTATATGAGAGGATCAATACGTCACATCTCCCAGTTAAATACAAAGCGACATCCAGCAGCCAATAACCTTAGCTTAGCATAAACACTGGACAATAGGGGGAAACAAGAAGTGTAAAAGCAGTAAGTTGTGCTTTTACTATGGGGGGGGTTATGTGCAGGACTATTTCTTAGCTGGGAGCCACATAACCCCCAATGAAACTCCAAATCGACACTTTTACACTTGGGTTAAGTTTGGTGTGTTAAATCTTGACCTTTAAAGTAACTTCTTCCCAAAGCTGAGACATAATTGTAGAAGAGGAAAAGTATAATATTTCCCTCTGATAGGCACTAAAGTAGAACCTCTAAAGTGCCTTTGAATGATGTGTAAGTGCAGTATGAGTCGCCTCTCTGACAGGCAAAGAAAGACAAAAACAAACACAAGATTAAAACTAAAAGTCACAATACTGCTGACATTGTTTGACAAATTATATGTGGGAATTCCAGTGTAGAAAGAGTGTAGCGGTGAGTGCTCAGCTTCAAAAGAGACAAATTTAAAAATAATCATGACCTCACTGGTTACCAAACTTCAAGAATCTCACTGGCCCAGATGTAAAATCCCACGACTCCTCCGGAGCATTTCCATGACCTAAAAAACATTCTCCCTTTTTGATTTCAGAGAGAACAATTTGGTTTCTCCTTCAACTGAAAACCACCGTCTAATGTAATAAATGTGTGAAACAATTTCATGGGAACACATTCTGCTAAATTCGTTCATAAAAAACCTGAAAGAAAGAAACACGTGGTAGAGGAAAAGGGAGGGATGATGGCCTAAATTCAAGTGGAAGAGACAGTAAAAGTGAGAGTGTTAGTTCATGACAGTTCTCTCCTCTGGCTGACCCCGAAAACACAAGGTCTCTCTTCCCTGCTCCTGTTGACCTTTGACCTCATAAAATCCTAATCAGCCTGTTACACGGATCATAGACCGACCACACACACAAACACACTGACATAGCGCACACACATATACGTGCATATGTTGTCACTAGTTTCTAAAACATCTGGGGTTCTGGGACATAAAGTCTGGATTTTTACTTCCTACGACTAAACTAAAGTATCGGTGCGTCTCAAATCAGAACTATGAAGTACTCTCAAACTATGTGACTTTAAACTGTACATTTTAAACCTTTATATTCTCAATATATTGTATTTCTATTACATCTGGAGTATATGTAATGAAAGTAATTTCCCCCTGGGATTAACAAAGTATTTCTGATTCTGATTCTGATTCTGAACTAGAAAGACTGCGGACTAAATATGGTTGAGTGTGAATGAACACAATGCAATGTACAAAGGAAATGGAGGAGCTGCTCACAGCTGGAAAACATTTACATTGATTGTGGTTGGTGGTGAGCAGCTCTTGCCCTGATATCAGACATATCAACTCATTTCTATCTTCAGTCGTACAGATTGTCGTCAACGCTGAGGCGTAGCCGTGCCAGTATGTCGGTTAAGAGCGGAGTGGAGCGAAGTAAAAACAAACTACAATGTCAGGCGATGTTGAGATGAAGGCAGAGTATGAACAGCCTTGAGAGCAACATCTATCTTTTTCTGTAGCAGTCGTCATTGTTGTTCTTACTCCTCCTTGGTTACAGCTTGACAACAGCATTATTCCCGCCAGTGGCACTGATTGACTAATCGTTGGTCCCCCCGACGGCGCTCACTGGATGGAGGTCTAATGTCACACATATTGTATTATTGCCTGTTAGTATAAAAAGGTAAAGTATTCAGTACTGTTAAAACAGTATACAGTGACGATAGTATATTATATAATATACTGCATAGAATCAGTATATAGTGTAGTACAGATTAGCAACTTATTTACTTTTCCATTTTTATGCTGCATGTGTTTCACATTTTTGTAACTCTCTGATGCTGCAAATATTAAATATTCATTTTAGAATTAATTAAAATGTTACCATGAATGTGGCGTCAGTGTCATTTTGTATCAATAATGTATAGTTTATTTTATCTGTACGTTTCTTTCATTCATGTTAACAGTTGAAAATGTTGGTGGCTTGTTGTTTTTGTGCAGCTTCATAATGTTGTTGGTTATCTGGATATTTATTTATAATTTATTACTAATTCCACATGTAGTTTTTTAAACTTAGCGACTTTGAACGTGCTAGCTGTGTGATTTGTTTTGGGGTTTCTTTATTCTTTCTTTTCTTATTTTGTGTTTTTGTTGACGGTAAGCTGCTGCAAAAAATGCCTTTGCAGGGATAAATAACGTATTAAATTCAGCTGAAGTCAAGACATCTAACCATATTCTTATTCAAACTTTTCATCGATTAGTAAATACCACTATTTTCTACATCAAGGACCACATTTTCCTGCAGCAATCATTTCTACACGTTGTTGTTGATGTGGAGGAAACCTGATGTCCGCATCTGGACCGGATCAGCTCGTTAGAAGACTTGGACCTGACTCATGTTGCAACGAGATATCAGCCAAAAATCCCACTTACTGGATGAAACTGTGTTTGTTGCCTGGCAACATTCACTGATTGAACACCCCGTCAGGAAGCTTTG